AAATATATATAACTTCTAATTTTTTGTTTATAATGCTCGTAAATATTATGGAAATACATCCCTTTTGATTAAATGTATAAAAATTTAAGATCATTTAAATAAACTGTATAGAATAAGCTACATATATTTAATATGATTGTAAAATGTAAATTTAATGATTATAATGTAAGTAATAAGTATTGCCATCAAAAATCTAACTGTTAAAAAACAAGTCAAGTTAAAAAACATTTAACAAAAAAAGTCAATCTATCAAAGTACCTACTGATATCTATGTTCTACATTATAGCCAAGTTTACAGTTTCTTTAATCCACAATACTAGCACATAAGCTTATTTGATGACTTTAAACTTGGTTGTTATCTGTTTCAAGTCATACACTAATCCATTTGAGAATTTGATGTAAGTAAAGCAAACCCCGAATCAGCCATCTAAAACATAGATTTTTTCAGTTCTTTTGTCCAATTTAACTGATATATGAGATGTGGCATTTTATTTTATCTAAATAATTTTTATAATAGTGATAACTATAAAGTACAAAAAATCGTTATAGTATGTTATTACTTGTTATGTATTTTATACGTATGTAGTATGTATTTAGATATGATATGTATGAATTATGTATACAGCACCTACACTTATCACAAACATATAAAAATACTGGTATATTTAATCTAGGCAATTTATCGCTTTGCTGTTTTTTATGTGATTGATTTAATAATATAATTATATTATTTAATACAACTTATTGACATTATCAACTAATTTTTCATTCGGTGCATTAATTGCATAAATTTATTCTTCTATAGCATGCCCAATACACCCAAATAGAATATTGATTTAAATTCTATTGCCGATTTTCCTATGGACTGAAATACAATTCAATCGAATTACATCGTGTAACATACCTAATTTTAGTTCAGTTTTCTAAAAATGGTGACTGACTCAACTTTCAACTTTTTAAATCTCACAAAAAAAACACCAAACAAGCACTGATGGGATATCCATTCCAAATTATGTAGGTAAGCGGATTGTTCTACAGTCAAATCTGACTCGCTCAAATAATATTATATCGTAACCTATATATAATTTATACTTTATAAGTATAAATAATTAAACTGAGCTTTTAAACGTTTTAATATTAATTTTATTACTAGAGTGATAATTAATATATGCAGCTAATAATCATTTTCCAAGTATAATGAAATATTATATAAAATCCAAAATTGACACATCGTTTTTGGCATTAGTGCATTACAGTAATACTTATTCAATTATGGAATACTCATTATGTATATAATGTATACCTACTTGCTGTTAATGGCAAAATTTTAGTTACTAATTATTAATAGGAACCGGAACTTGATAATCTAAAAATTTTTGAAAAAATGCACTCAAAAAAAGAATTAAAATGACCATATAAACATCAAAAAATAACTTATAAAATTACACTAAAAATATCAAAAAAATAACATAACATTTTTAAAAATTACGTTTTTTAATAATAAGTCGTCGTTTTTTGAATTTTATTCCTCTAGATTTAAACAATGTTAATATTTTTATACATAAAATATGTTTTTTTACAGACTACAGGACCTAAATTAAATTTTAATACGGGAATAAGAAATAGTGTCAGTTATACAAAATAATTATAAAAAAATAAGTCGATATTTTTAGAAAAATAATTGAAGGATTGAGCTGCACAATACATTAGATTTTTCAAATACCTATTTAGTTTTGTCATAATCATATGAAGAAAAAAATGTAAAAATTGCAAATATATCTACAAAAATGCATCAAAATTAGTAAAAAATGACCGTATAACCAAGCATTACCAGAAATGCAAAAAAAATGTAAAATAAAAATGGTTTCATTGATTTTTTATAACACAAGTCACATTTCTGTTAGCACAAGCCTCGTATAAACGCATTAGAAAAAAAGATACAAATGCATCAATAGTTCCGGGCCTTAGGTACTAATTATATACCTATTTTTATGAAACAATTTTTCAAGTAATCAGGTAATAGTATATCATTGCTTTTTTTTTCACCTATGCATACGTTTAACGAATACCTATGAGCTATGATTACAATAATAATAAAATATCACTTAAAAAATGTAACATTTAAAATGTTTTAGATTTTTTACAGTGCGTTTAGATATTTGTGTGTAGGTAAATAAGTAATAATTATCCTAAAAAAATTATAAATGCTTGAAAATTAATTTAAAATTTACAATTATATTTATAGAAAATGTTAATAACAGTTATAAAGATGAATGTGGTAAATATTTCAAGTTATAATCATCTCATCTAATATCAGCGTTTTATGTTGTCTAAAATAAAGTTAAAATTAAGCGGATTTTTTATGATATAATGAGCAGTAAAAATATACCCTTGCCCTTCGGTAAATAACATACTTACATATTATTATTTTGATTATAATTGTTTATGTATACACAGGTAACGTTTACATGCTAGTTAATGATGAATTTGAAGACTCAAGATATACCTTTACAAATAAAAAATAGTTTATTTGTTACCTAGTCAATTATTAATCAGTGTATTCACTTTAATTATTTAGAAATATACATAAATAAAAAAAAAAAAGGTAGACACACTTGTCTTAGATGTCGAAGGTCACTGTAATTGGGATGTCAAATTTTAATTCAGTGATACATCGTGGTAAATAATGAATAATATGTATAATATTAATGTATATTATTAATGTATTAATTATAAACGAATAATGATTCTGAGCAGAGACGGCTTGTCCATCTACACTCTATAAGTATTGGTATATCTCATAAGGTTTCATGTTTTTTGGTAAAGCTATTAAAGTTATTTATACATTTTACTTTTATTACTATGGGAAGTTGATTTATTTTTTTTTCCGAAAACATTATTAACATTTAATTAATATAATAAAATATATTTGTATCATACTAATTAATGTGATTAACTTTTGAGCTAAAAATACCTTAGATTAATTGAGGCCCGGGTAATATTGTGTACACATATACGTATAGATACGCTTAAATATTTTTTATTCATATTTAAATTAGGTACATCCAAGAAATTTTTTGTAAAACCAATATTTTTTCTTCCCGTTTTTTAGACTTAAGATTAGCAATATACCTAATTGTATTAATATTGGTATAGTTAAAAATATTTGTTTTGCAAAAATGTGTTTGATTAAAAATGTATAATTAAAAATATTGTGAATTAAGAAACTGGTAAAATTTGTAAGATAATTCCCGCACATAGTCTAACAGAATATTATTTTTTTTTTTTGCTTGCAATTCATACGTACATTTTGTAATTTTGTAATTTTCTGAGTTTTGTTCCCTAACTAAATGCTTGAGCATTGAATAAATTTATTTTGATCAACTTTACATCTTTATAAGTTAAAGAATTAACATCAGACGTAATTGTTTGATATTTTTATCATTAAATAATTGATAAGTTTGGTATCAACATTATTTGTGTAAGTCATTCTAAGCATAAATAGAAAAAATAGTTAATTTAAAGGTTTATGAACTTTGATACATGTTTTGTATTTTAGTGAAATGTAGAGCAATAGTTTTAATCTTTATTTTAAAACAATGTTTAGCTTAAAATGTAATTTGACTGATGAGTGATGTCTGTTAAACAGTCTAATATAGGCAATTGTAATATATTTTTACATAATTTCAGTTGACAAATAATAGTACATCTAAATAAAGTGTTATATGATAATATCTTATCAATTTATTGTCCTCAACAATTACTAAGGTATTTACATAAAAATGCAATTAACATGTATTAATTTATATGAACCATATATAATATGATAATAGTGTAGTAGTGTGATTTTACTACTAAAATACTGATAATTATAAAATTGAAAAAAAATAACATCTTGGAGAAAATGAAATGTCTGTTTTAGAGTAAATTTATTTTATACAAACTTATACAATTTTTTTATTTAATTTTTTAAACATTTTTAACTTATTTTATTTGTACTATTTTGAATAATTATGGGAAATATTTTAAAAAAGTAAAATGTATTATTACTTATTAACGCTTTTGACCAAAAAAAACAATGTGTATTGAAAATGCATGTACTTTATTTAATGACAAAAAGTTTAAAAAAGGAGCTCATCTTATTATAACATATTTTTAGTGTTAAGCAGATACAATAACAAATTAGAGAAATTAAAAGTTACTTTATGAGATAACCTATTTCTCATAGAAAATATAAAAATAAGTTCAAAGAAGGAGTGTTAGGAATAGACTTTGCTAGATTTAAACTTACAAATGTTTTATCAAAATATTGATAATATAATCGATGGCAAGGTAATGAAATGTGACAAAAATGATGAACTATCAGTTAAAGATTTATTTAATTGTAAATATTCACCAATGTCCAATTGTATCTTGTAACATGGAAAGAAGTTTTTCCAATTACAAAAGTATGCTTCAAGATTATCATAAAAGTTTTCAATTCAAAAACTTGAAATCGGTTTTTATAATCTCATGCTGGTACTCATCACATAATAATATAATATAAATAGTATAATACTTTTAAACTCAATTTCACAAAAGTAATTTTATTTTGCATATTTTTATTAAGTACTTTTTTTATACATGTATTTAGGTTGTGTAACATTTATGATCGTATAGTTTATTAATTTGTAGAAAAAATAACTTTGCTTTTGTATATTTATAAAATGAATCTGCATATTTTATAGATTTGTATTGCATATAAATCCGAACCATAGAAATTACTATTTTTTATTAGTATTTTTTTAAATTTATAATAGTTTAACAAAATAAAAATAGAAAAAATTATGATTTTGATTGAGCATTGAACATAATTGTATTTCATAATTATTATCTCAAAATTAGCACAAATATGAAATTTAACATCATTAAAAATAAATATTTAAATTTAGTATACTATAGAGTAAGTACTAAGTATATTATATAATAAATGAATTAGATAAAAAATTATTTATGGTACATTTATCTTGTTTATCATTCTAATTTTAAATTATTTTTATAAATATTAAGTAATTTTTTTACAGTATCACAGTCTGTGATATAAATGGGGTCTTCTTTAAAAATTGAATACAATTTTGTATTATTTCTACTTGAATATGGTTTCAAAACCTTTGCTGATGCGTGAAATTCTTGTGCTAATGTAGTGACCAAGATTTCTTTTAGATTTTCAACTTGAATACCAGCTCCAGGGATTATAATAAGACGATCTTTCATTGTTTCGATCAAAATTTTAATTAAGCATCTTCCATCAAATGCTACAGGACTTCTACCACTAGTTAGTAAACGTTTAAAACCCAAATCAGCTATTTTTTGTACCATTTTTATTGGATTTTGCGTAGCTACGTCAAATGCACGATGAAATGTAACAGGTAATGGCTGAGCTGTTAAAATTACTGAAGCACACGTAGCAATATCAATATCGCCAGTTGATGTAAGAGCACCAAATACAAATCCATCAGCTCCAGCCTCTTTGAATAAAGTACAATCTTTAAGAATAACTCTAATGTCTAAATCTGAATATTGGAAATCATAACCACACTTTGGTCGAAGCATAACAAAAATAGGAATTGAAACAATGGTTTTCAAGGTTTTTAAAAGTCCTAGCGATGGTGTTAATCCTCCTTCACTCAATGCACTGCATAACTCTAATCTATGAGCTCCTCCATTAAACGCATTAATAGCAGATTCCACACTATCAACACAGATCTCCATTTTGTCTGAAAAATAAAGAAATCATTAACAAATTATTATACTTGCTTAATAAATTATAAGTTATAATGTATTAGATGGTATGATTAAATCAGTAGATACTTAAGAATTTAGAAAATGAGTTATTAAACTAAAATTGTAAAATTGATAAATATTTATTTATACACAAGAAATTTAAAGATAAAGAAACTTTCATTCCTGACACATTCACTTTTATTCATTTAAATGACATATCTGCATTCTTTCACTAAGACTTAAACTAATTTTATACTATTAGCTTTAATATTAGATTAAACTGAACTATGTTTAATCAAATTTAAAAATAAGCATATTATTTTAGGTATGACTTCTAAATAGATATTACTCGCTTTAAAATTTAAATATCAATAAAGCTAAATCATATCTTAAACAGGTAATATTCTATGATTTAAATTTGATAATAGGTCAATTTTTTTTTATTATTAAAACTAAAAGTATAAAATTAATTCAAAAACTTTTCATATTATACAATTGTAAAATTAGGTATATAACATTTTTTTTAAATAAAACTTTAAATTTTAATCTATTTAGTTACCTAATATTTATTAACATACTCTCCTATACATTTAAATTGTATTAAAAACATAATATTATTTTTTTGAAAATAACAGACTATAAAACAATTATATATTTTAGTTTAATACTTAAAAAATGACATTACTATGAGTTAAGATACTAATTTATATCATTAACAGTGCAAAATATAATAATAATCATCTACAAATTACTGATCATCAAAACAATAACAATAGTTATTTGTCATAGGCAGCCTCTACAAATATATGTAATGTATATAGAATAGTATCTACATAGGTATTTCAAATTGAAAATAAATATTTAACATATTTATTTTTTCTATTCTTAACATTTAAGTTAGGAAATTATTTTTCATAAGTTAATTAATTTGTATGAAAATATTTTTTTATAATATACTTAACAGTAAGTAAATAGAGTGGCATACATTTTCTTAGGCAAAATTGCATGTGCACTACTACATTAGACATCTTGTGGAGTATAATTATTATCCTTTACTACCAAAACATCTACAATAATATGCCCTACACCCAAAAGTTAAGATTTAATATAGTCAAAAGCAGTATTAATTACATAAATACAATATAATTTACTCACATATTGTAATATTAACATAAGACTAATGCATTATGAAAATAGTTTTAAGAAAAATATTAAATAATGTTTATCTTATTCTATGAAAATTAGTTGAAAGGTTTATTGCTTGTAATAAAATAAGGATGTTATGAAAGCGTTCTTCTGCGTCATCACAAATGAAGTGACATTTACAGCACTGGATTAGTACATAATTAATAAACCTTTTTACAACTGGTTAAAATTATATGGTAAGGAACACAAATAGGTATGACTTTTGTTTCAAAAATAATAATAAAATGCAAATAACAAAATCAATCGACACTTCTATAGGTAAATTATTAAACAAAATGTATGGATTGAAATAATTGAAATACAACAGTAAATTAGAAAAATCAGTAGTAACATACTAAAATTGATGATGTGTAAAATACACGACACTTAATGAATACCTATCGACTGATAAATTAATTATATTAAATGATGTAAGTACCTAAAGTGGCTGGTAGGTGAACGCAATTATTCGATATAATGCCGTTTGATGTGGTCAGGCCAAACAGTTACACGACTACATTACACGTGATCTCATTTCATTTACTGCTCACTGTAGGATTGCTCGATAGAGTCTGGATATTTTAAAGTTAAAACGCTTTTACGATTCAGTAATAAACTGTGTAATTATTAATAATTAATAAAAAAAAAAACGTTACAGTGTAAAAAACATAATATTATAATAATAATATTAACAAACTTACTGATAACTAAGTGATAACTGATAATAACAATAATGCTGTAACCGCGATTGTAACCATGAAGATAGAGCAGATGTCTCAACTCCGAGTATTTATTTTGTGATCGTAATTCGTAATGTTATTATCCGTGCACAATAATAATAGTAATTTTATCATTAATCCATGCACAATAATAATAATAATAATAATAATTTTATTATTATTTCGATTTCGGTCAAGATTTTAATGCTGTACGAGCAGATTACAGTGATTTCGACCTAACCACGGAGAGTCCGCGGAGTCTTGACTTTTCTTGTAAAACTTTAATATCGTAGAATGATTCGGTAAAAGTTATCAGTGATAACGCACGTAACGCCGCGAAATCCTACACAATATCTCAGAATATTATGCTCTGACTAGACTAAGTCTGACGGTAGGTACCTTGGTAGGTACTAAAGGTGTTAAAGGTAAATCTTGGACGTCACGATTAATATAATTATTATATTTTTAATCGGAGAAAATTAATTGAATAAAGTAATTATTGGAGAACGTCACTGTAGGTACCTACTGTAATGTATTGTCTTGTTCCCGTGACAAAAAAAAGCAAATTTTTCGTTCAGAATAATTCGTCTTACTGATTTTAGTGTTGCTTTTAAAGTCACAACGAATTGACCAATTATAAAATTTGAAGGTAAGAATATTATTTCTCTAGAATTATACTATTATTATGGGGCTAATATAATATTAGTAATTTATAGTAGTCCAACCAGTATATAATATATGAACGGTGTTAGTGCAAAAGAGCTCAAGTCTTTTAACGTTTTAACACGAATTTACAGGGAAAAAAAACATTTTTAAGCCATTTAAAATTAAAAGTGAATGATTGTTTTTTTTACAAATAGTTAATTTAATAATCTAAAATTTGAATAATTATAAGCATAAAGTATCCTATAAATTATAAGTATTTAAGATATAATTATAATTGATTTATGTCCATTTGTACGAATATGTATATTATTATAACCACTTTTACGGTTTAACCTATTCAGTGTCTTACATATTATATGCTCGAGGTAATATAAAACTTCTTATACTTCTACGAGTCATATTAAGTAAATAAAATTATCTTCTATTTTTAATGGTATTTTGTATTGTATCTATGAGCCATTTTACATCACAAAAAACAAATGCATTACCATATTCATTTATTTTTTTAACTGACTATTAAAATCAAAGTACCAAATCATTTTGTTTCATTTAATCAACTGTACCTAAACTTGTTTTTTCCAGCTCAACTTCTTAATTTAGCCCACAAGAATAGTTTATTGGGAATGGATAACGTTTTCGAGCTTTCTCAATGTGGGCTCAATCAGAATCACAAAATTTCACCATTAGATTCAAATTATTATAATTCGTAAAGATAGCTAACAAAAATCAAAAAAAGTGAAAAAGAAAAAAAATATGCGATTGCATAGAAATCCACAACCTGGTAATGAGTAATGAGATATGATACAATTAATATTTTAAAGTAAGTACCTACCTAAGTATGGTAACAACCAAACATGGACATAACTAGTTAACTAATAAACTTAAACCAATAAACTGAATATATTTTTAATAATGTAATAATAAGAGATGATTGCTTCCATCGCTCCAATGAAGTTGGAGCCTATATGGTTTAAAGGATGTTAGTCAGGATGACACGTCCTATTTTTGAAGTCCCATGCCATAAATATTATTTTTGTGTAATTACTGAATTATAATATAAAATACGGTAACAAACGAAAAAAAAAAATTAAAATTAAAATACGTCTAATTTTTAAACACATGAACGTACATTCATGACTAGAAAATTTTTTATATTGGTTAGTAATATTTATTATAAAATAAAAAAGCTTCTACGCAGTAAATATTTAAATTATTTTATTCTATATTATGTTTAAAATTTGTCTTTTAACTATTTGTGTGTCTGTAACCCGAATCAAGAAAATCGAAAATGTTTACTGTTTTTATTTAAGAGGAGAAAAGTGAGTACTTTTGTATTCTAAATTACCTAATGTCTTTTATTACACATTTGATATTAATAATAGTACCTATTAAATACTTGCCATTTTTTATTATTGATCAATTTTTGAAGGTCGGGGTTACAACCTCCTAACTCCCTCCGCTTATTACAACACTGACTCAAATAGTTCTTTTTTTCGAGAAACGAAACTTATATACAATAAATAAAACAATATCTGCTTTTCCGTTTTTATTTTATGATATCATTAATACCTGAAAACATTTTTGTGAGTAAAAATATTATTTTAAAATTTATAATTATTGTGTTTTTAACTCAAAAGTACATAATCATACAAAAAACTATTTATAAGTGTTTGAAGTAAAAATGTTGACAAAATCCTTTAAAACTATGAACATTTGAAATATTATTAGAAAAGTTCATAAAAGACTTGAACGAGATTTCTTACTACGAGTTTTTATTATAGTAAAAAGAAAAAAGTTTAGTATATAAAAAGTTAGATTCATATTTTTCAGCGTTTGGCTCAATCGATATTCAAATGTTGACAACATTGGGTATTTATTATTTAAACAAAAATAATGTTTAACACAAAAAATACACATCATCATTGTAAAATCAATACATTATTGTTACTCCGTTTAGAAACTATTATTAAATTAAATTTTAAATCGTAAAAAAAAATAATTGCATATGAATTATACAAGTTGATAAAAATGACAAGGAACGTAGTTGCTTCGCTAATAAATTAAATTCTTAATCATTAAATTACCTTGAAAAGAGACCAAGACTAAATTTTTTTTCAAATATTTTGTTTTAAATGGATAAAACCAAAGTTTAGGTATTACGAGTCAAAACACACTATTTAATGCATTAATTGCATCATTTTAAAAGTCAGTTACGGTTTCTAAATCTGGATTTTCATAAATTTTTTTTATTATTTTTAGTAAAAAATTCGATTGAAAGTTTAAATATTTTAAAGTAAAGCTCTTCTATTTTTAATTTCATTAAAACGTACAAGTGGAACAAAAATCGTTTCACTTTTTGATTTATATAAACTATTGCGTGTGTATTTTCTGCAATCAGATATTAAGTAATTTAGATAATGAAGTAGTAGAAAATATAACAATGAACAATATGTTATTTTATTAAGTATATGTCGAAACAAGCGTAAAATAGTGGCTAAATGACTGAAAATGCTCAGGTTTTAACGGCTATGGTACATCCGCCATTGCAGTGCTCTCTAGGCTCCTTTATAAATGAAATCAGTTCCTTGTTAGATAGCCCACGGCCTTACATTTTTCAGGTATCCTTGAAGTTGTTTTGATATTTGTTATTGTAGAATAACGACCTCCAAGATACATTTCATTCCTAATTGCCGATACGTACAAGTATAATATTTTGTCGCTAAAAGGCGACTTCAATGATGCAGTTGCACTTTAATTACTGGCACGTACAATGAGTATATTTATTATAATAATATACACTGATATTTCGTAGCTTGAGACAAAGCCATGTATTACGTTTAAACGATAAAAAATATTTGGACAAATTTTAAAAGTTTTATCTGCTAATTAATAGTTCAATTATTATTGTAACAATATACAATTTTCATTAGTCATAACTTATAATAAACAACAAAATTTATGACCTGATAATATTACGCACATGTTTAATGGTAGATCAATTTTATTTGTTTGTTTTTTTTTTTTGGTTTTAAGTTTATATCATTATTTTGTTTCTGTCGTTCAATAATTTGTCGAGCGACTTCTTTACTAATGTAAAGAATTGATTATTTAAGATGTTCATGCGATTTCATGTATATCAATATTTGTATCGGGTTATATATTGACTTTCTTGAACATTTTTTTCTTTTAATATTCATTTATTTTTCTTACTTTTATATTTATTTAATTAAGTCTGTGAGAATGGGTATTTTCAGGAAAAAACCATTTTTGTCATCAGAATGTACCTACCTGCGTTTTTTTTTCCACAAAAAAGTCAAATTATCGAGTCATGTATTAAGTACTGTGTCTAAATTTTCGTCTTTCTGCTCTTAGAATTTACGATTAAAAAACAATATTAATTTACTAATAATTAAAATATTGTCGCGGGTTATATAATTACTGAAATAATTACAAAACATCGATAATTGAAATTTAACATTGCGTTTATTATTATGTGATAAATGTGAATCAAAAAAATATAAACATTTCGTGTATGAGGAAACTAATTTTTTATTATTAAAAATAAAATTACTTAATAAATCAAGACTTAAAAAATAATTTAGATCAGTTTATTACATCTGATTATCTAAAATATGATATTTTTGGATAGGTAATCTATTCAATGAAAATGATTAAGCAAAATAATAACACTATAACCATATTTTTTTGAATTAAGATTAAAAGTATATTCACATAAAACCTTTAAAAATGAACATGAATATATTATTTAAAATAAATTATAAAATTTTTAAAGCAATTAAAAGTTATAATTTTGAATCATTAACCTTTAAAATATATAATTAAGTGATTAAAATGTTGACTGTAACCCATAAGCGCAAAATATGACCCAAACGCAACCCAAAAGCGCAAAAGTAAATATTCCATAAGCAAAAAAAATAAAAATACCTTTTTAACAAACCATAAGCGCGAATAAATTTTATAAAAATAAAGTGTATTTTATATGAGTTAAATATAAGTTTATATTGTATATATTGTATATAGTTACCTTAAATAATTATCAATTTTTGTCGTAATTCGTTACGATAAAATATACGATTTTACTAAACTTCAACTGAACTCAATCACTGTTGATATATTTTTGAATTATAATTTATTATTAATAATAATTAATTTAATTAAAATTAATAATTTAAAAATGAAACTTATTGTGTAACTGGTTCAATATTTATTTTTGCGTCTTTATTCTACTACTAAGGTACAAAAACGCAAAATTAATTTGAGCTTTTAATCTATTGAAAAAAAATCGACGATTTGTGCTTTTCGGTTTCACCGGAAATTTTTATAAACAGTAATTTTATCTTATTATTATAAATATAAAAAAAAATAATTGGTAAGTGGGTATCACTCTGCTGTACAATAGGTATCACTGTGATAGATGTGTTATTATGTTAATTTTAAATTCAATGATTTATCATAATATATAAAAAACGAGAAATTTATACGTTTAAAGTCTATTGGTCTATATAATATTATATATCAGTATATCATTAAGTTTATTTCATGTAATGATTTTTAAAATTGCTATTAAGTTAATCAATTTTACTATTAGTGATATACACATATGGTAATTGAATTAATGTTTGCTTAAAACTTGTATTGAAAAATGTCATAATATGTATGAAATATAATAATACACGTACAATTTCTATATACCAACGAAAAAAGTTTTTAAATTATAACAAAATAATTAATATTGATGTTCAAGATTAAATTCCTATGTAATTTCATCCAATTTTGAAATTTAAACGTCTATAAAATAATTATGCATATATATTTGTTTGAGGTTTTTAGTTTCAGTATAAATTACTAATGAGCAACTTTGTTTTACATTTCTAAGCTTAAGATATAAAAATTTAACATTTTTAATTTCTATAAATAACTTAAAAATAGTCAAAATATTTTAAAAATACTATCGTAAATAAAAAATGATTAAATAAACATTCAATGAAAATTTCAACAATTGTAGATTGGTTGATTTAATTATTTGTTTTTGAATTACAACAAAATATTAAAAATTATTTGAGGGAAAAAAGTTATTTTGCGGGTAAATACGCATTATTGTCATAAAAATTTTAATTTAAAATACTCTTAGAAAATGTAATTGATTTTCCGATAAAATTTTTATTATTATAGGTAGAAAAACTTTGAGGAGTTTTTTATTTAATTTTGAAATCTTAAATATATAAAAAAAAAAAAACATTATTTTATAAATTTAATACTAAAATACAATTTGATTATACGATTCTCATCAAATTTTTAAATGTTAACACTTATAAAAAATATGGTTGAGCATATTTGGTAAACCACCCTATAAACATGAAGTAATATCTAAGTAGAATGTTTTCATAGGAGATGCTTTATTAAATTTTATCATTAGGAAATTGAGTATTTACATATAAGTATCTTTATTAATTATTTAATAAATTTATAATATATATTATATATTATATTTAGCTAGAATATTATGTAGTCAGTGGTTATATTGAAATTTAATACTGCTCCCCCCCCCATTCCATAGAAATTGTGCGAATTACACACATGACCATAGGTGGCAACATATAGGTTTTATATATAATGATATAGTTATTATTATAGCGTATTTTTAAATTTGTATTTGGTAGGTGTGGGTGTTAAGATATTTGTATTCCTAGCACATTTTGCTATTTTACAACATTGCAAGAATAAAAAATATTTTTGAAGTAGGTACGTATAAAAAAATAATTGATTTAGTTGCAGATACTTATTATTTGAGCTAAAATATTATGGTTGTAATTTTTTGGTCGTGCACTCATAATAGTTATATTCTTTTGATCGAACATTTTCGTCTAAAGATATCCATTTAAAGAAAAAAATTACCTAAGAATTTAATATTTATTTTTGTTTTCCAAATAAATGTATAACCTAATTAGGTAATGCTCTCAAATGTTGCTGAGATTCACAATTAATTTTTAAATTGGATTTTTTGGTCTTGGGCGTCAAGAAATGGCTCTAAATTAATCTATATACTAATGAATTACGGCTTATATCTTATATTTTAAATTATAATGTTGTGTATACAATATTATGCGCGTATATTTAACATATTAAACGGGTAATAAGACCGTGCGTCTGTGCATAATTAATATTTTATCATCTATTATAATAATATGATAAATTAGTTTAAATTATTCTTTACTAATACTTATTAATTATTATTAAATATTAAGATATCTATCAGTTTGATTGATATATACATTATATACATATTACTTATATAAATATTAAAATATATAATAAAGTTAATTAAATTGATGTAAAAGTACTCAAATATTTTTAAAGGTGTAAATTGAATGTACCAAAATTATTTTAAATGTATCAGATTATCATTTGTAAAGGATTATATTATGAATGCAAGTTAAGACTGCACTGTATATAGTACAATTTTAGTAATTGATTATGTGTACCTACTAATAATTTATTCAACGTAACAACTACTTTACCGAAATAACAACAAACCACAGTGACCTAACAATCAATAATATTGATTCAGCCTTTTGTTGTGAAGTTGCTGTTGCTGTTGGAGTCGTAACTTTTACTTATATATGGGCGAATGTTTGCCCGATAAAAGTCTGTGGCTGTATGGTAATAATTTGCCGCTGCTTCCACGAAGGTAAAAATCTTTTTTCAATACTTTTACTAATAAAGTAGATAAATGAGGACATTATCAAATTTTCCATGTATAGGTAATGTACAAAATTGTAATGTTAGTTAAGTAATTATAAATATTTTACGTAACATAGTGTCTGTATGGTAGACTTACAAATACAATAGATAATAACAGTTTTAAATTTCGTATTATAGAACACACACATACAGCATAAATATTTTAACACTAAATTGATCAAATCTATGAATATTTCATTCATAATTATTATGCATTGAAAAATAACAAAATTCATTTTTATATAATGTTTAGTATTTTTAATTAAGGTATAAATAAACATAAATTGTTTTAAAGATATTTGTAGAAATAAAAAATTTGTAGACATAGGTACCTATTTAAGTTTAAATTTTCTCGAATTGTGTCGAGGACATTTATTTTGTATAGGTTTTTAATTTTAAAAATATTTACTACAATATATACCTAAATACTTTATCTATATTATGATATGATATTAAATAATTCATGAGATTTATATTAAAACTAATTAAAATTTACCAAAACAACTTATCAAAAATAAAATATTATTTATAAATTACTTTATTAGTTAAAACGTACCTATATAGTTATTTAAATTTAATATTTCACAGAAAATTTACATTACCTTCATAACTTTTAATTTTTAATAAAATATTTCTTTTTAATTTGTAATTATTTTAATTCAAAAGTAATGAGTACCTGTAAAATGCATTTTTTTTTTTTTTTTAATGTGTCTAGCAAATGTTTGGAATATTATCAATAATTTAATTAAAACTAAAAGTATATACATTTTGGAAAAAATGTAGTACCTTAAGCTTTAAAATTTTTTTAATTATTTTATTTTATAATACCTAATTTATATCAATATGAATTATATATAAGAATTCAATAGAATAATTTTAAACAAAATAATTACACCGCTATTCAATCAGTGTTTATGTCAGACATAAAAAATAGATAATAAAAGACATATTAATTTATGTAGACATTCATTATGACTGGTATTTATTATGAATAAACATTTAAGAAAGTTAGCTTAAAATGTTTTTTAATAAATTGTTTTATTACTTTAATTATGAAATAAATAATCATTTTCAATTGGTATTTTAAAATTTATTTCTAGAATTTTCAATTAAATACACAAATTTTTCACTTTTCAGACATGGATCCAGCTCCAAGTTGAAATTGATGGAACGCTACGAGCGTCTGGGCAAATTGGGTGAAGGGAGTTACGGAATGGTTTTTAAATGCCGGAATCGAGAAAATGGTCACATAGTAGCAATAAAAAAATTTGTTGAATCTGAGGACGATCCATTAATTCGAAAAATTGCTCTACGTGAAATACGCATGCTAAAGGTAAGTCTTAAAATATTTTATTCCGGAATTTTAAGAAAAAAAATTAAAATTACATGAAGCACATAACCGCAAATCTACATCTACATCTATAGGTACATTATATGTTTTTATCATAGCAATTTAAGTTCTATTTTTGTTTTATTTTGTTTCGATATCAATTACTTCATTTTACCTAATATTTCTTTTAGGTCATTTAAAATAAAACACATTAAAAGTATTGCATATATACTTGTATAATGAGTTTGTTGTTCTTTTAACAAACCTCAGAAATAACCAATAATTTTCAGAATTTAAATCATAATGGTAGTCCCTACTTCCTAATCGAGTCATTATTATGGTAATAGATTTGCTCTTCAATCTATATATAAAAAATTTAAATAAACGCAGATTTTTAATTTTAAAAGAATGTTTTATTGCCTACGTAATTTCGAAAATATCGTTTTATCCGTAAATATAGGTAAAATATGACTTATGAGTAATAATAATATAATCATTTATACATATTTTATTATTAAAGTTTAGATGATATGCTTATTTTTCGAAGGTTAAGTTAACGTAACATAAAAAATTAATATTATTTGTATACTTCTCTATCATAAAAAAAATGTAATAAATTTATCTAATAATTTTACATTAAAATGAATTATTATCATATTATAATTTTAATATACCAAGTATAATTATATTTTTCATCGTGAAACCAATAGTTATTATTTTTTAAAGCTTATTACATTGATAAAAATAAAAAAACTATGAATATTTTAGACATTAAAACATCCAAATCTGGTGAATTTGCTCGAAGTATTCCGACGTAAACGAAAACTTCATTTGGTATTTGAGTTTTGTGAGCACACAGTACTCCATGAGCTCGAAAGACATCCGTATGGCTGTCCAGAAATATTTACCAAACAAATTATTTGGCAGACGTTACAAGCCGTTGCATACTGCCATCGACACAATTGTATACACAGAGATATAAAACCGGAAAATATATTACTCACTTCCCAAGGGGTGGTGAAACTTTGTGACTTTGGATTTGCAAGATTAATGAGTCAGTATAATATTATATTATTATATTATATCATATTATATGTTTTAAACGATTGAAATAGATAGGTTTTAATCGAATTATACATACCTAGTAGTAAATTATTATTTAAAACTTCGATGACATAGGTATCTAATTAAAATAAATGGTTTTTTTTCACAAATTTATTATTAGTAAAATACTTTTTATTTAATTTCAATAAATCGATCCTAATAAATTGAATACAATATGTCAATTAAACATAATTTTTGTGGTTTTATTTTTTTTTTTACAAATTTTTCTATAATTATTTAAATTAGTTCTAAAAAAAAAAAAAAAAAATGCTGATACATATGTAATTGAATTATTTATCGTTAAATTAATACTTATAACTCAGTTATTAATTATTACATTTATTATTTAAAAAAAAAATTGTTTTACAGATCCCGGAGAAAATTATACTGACTATGTGGCTACCAGATGGTATAGATCTCCTGAATTATTAGTAGGTGATACATTATATGGTCCTTCAGTTGATGTTTGGGCAATTGGTAAATACTAAATGAAATAATGTGTACTAACACTCTATATTATTAGATAATCAATAAATTTAATTATTCAAATATTTTATGTGATCAATGTTTTTGAAAAAGTAATTTTAACTTGCAATAGCAGCAATATTAAATAGGTATAATATAGAAAACAAAAATTTATTTTACTAACCTTTTTTCAGAAAGAAAAATATTAAAAGGTAATTGTTAATGTACCTTTAAGAATATTTAAATTTAATTTATGTATAGACATTTATGGTTTTTTTTAAAGATTTTTAATATATTATTATATAATTTGCAACAAAATATATCATAATAAGTCAATACTGATTAAATGCAAATTAAATTTAGACAACTTTAATTTTAGTCCTAAGTGCCTCAAATAATATAATATATTCATAAAAGTTAGTATAACGTAGTATTGATGGTTTTTAAAATAGGTATGAGCACTTAATAATTTTTTACAGGTTGCGTTGGCGCGGAACTTATAAGAGGAGAAGCTTTGTGGCCAGGAAAATCTGACGTTGACCAACTGTACTTAATAAGATCTACTTTAGGTAAAATAACTTAATTACCATTTATTTATTAAAAACAAAATAAAATAATATTGGAAAAAGTTTTCGTTTAGTGTGCTTTTTAAGTATAATAGTTAAAGCTTTATATTTAAATATATTATATTCATTGTAAACACTAGGATAACTTTTAATAAGCCCCTGAATTTGTGTTTTAATGAAAATTATAAAAAAAATACTGCAAATTCAATTCATCATTTTCCAGATCAATGAATGTTTTTAAATAGGACAATATACATATAATATTATTATACGTATATATTATATACTCGTATATATAATACATAATACAGAACTTGTGCATGGAAGTTTTAAGTATTCATAGAACTTTTCAATATTGATGCATTAAATTTTATGGCTGAAATTTATATGTGTGGAAACTTTTTTCCTGTAAATGTTTAATTTAATTCTTTGCGTTGTGTTATGATATACCGCAGCATAATATTCAAAATATTTTACGAATTATATTAGGCACATTGATTTGCTTTATGCATTCTAATTTCTAAGACATTATATGGTTTTGAATAATTGAATACTTATTTTGTATAAGTATGGAAGTATTTATTAAAATTACTTATTTTAAAAATATTTTTATCTAGATCTACCGACTAAATTTTTGAAACATTTGAGTGTATTTATTTTGAAATCCCACGTCATGGTAAAATTATACATGTTATTAAAATTGCACATGAAAACACAGAAAAACTAATTCCAAACTTCTACAGAACTTCACTCATTTACATATTATACTTGACAATTCGGTAATATTAAAATTGCTATAAATAAGTACCAACTAACATTTTATTAAATATAAGCATTTATAGGCTATAGCTGTAGGGCTAATTGCGTACAGCATACTAAACAATGTATTTAAAATCTGTTAATAAGTGTAACGGTTATTGTTTTGCAAAATCATCTTCATAAAACATTTATCATTACAACTCATAACAATCATAGGTTTTTTAATCGAATTTATTAATGGAATATAATTATTCAGACATCTATGATTTAAAGATTTGCTAGCTAACGCAATCTCGTATTAATAGTTTGTAAAGTTTAATAATGTAATGTATTTATCATGTCAGTGGCGCGGAAAACATTTCCGCTATAAGCAATTTCCCCTTAATTTTCGTGAAAGGTAGTGATAAGTATTTAGTTAGGTGTATGTTACTATTATTACTGTTATGTATATATTATTACAAATTGCAACGACAATGCTAATTTTCATTATCAATGACGGTGTTTTTGTTTGAAGGAGATACGTGAGTCGTCGATAAATATGTAATTTATCTAACTATATGATTCAAAACAGATATTTCGTCCTATTTTACTATTGCATCGTGTATCGTACATAATGACATTAGCATATTGATATTATTTGTGTACGTATATGAGTATTTTAAAGTGCATAACCATAATCTGTCACATAATATTATTACATTTTTTTGATAAATTATTTATACAATAATAAAATTATATTAAGCAGCCAGTCTATCCTATTATGATGTATATTTATTCCTGTTATTGCATCAAACTTTGAATATTAATGACTAGCGACCATAATATTATGATGTTTATACGTCGATAATGTGTGTAGTGTGTACAAACCTTTCAATATCGTTCACCAGTTAAATAGTACCAATAATTCATTATATTATTTTAAACAAAAGGAAATGTTATAGGTCACTGCATCAATTAACCAAATTTGAATATAAAATGTTTATATGTATGTTCATTCCCAATCTTAATCTAAAAAATTTAAAAACAAATATTAAATTTCTATGAAAAATTCTATGATGCAGTTTTTAGAATTATTAAAAATTTTAAATTCTTATTTATTTCAAGTTTAAATAGATCTTAGTGTTATCAATTACTTTGTACTCATATCATATTTAAATATGAATGTCATTGTTTTTAATCAATTATTTTGAGCTAAGATTTTTTTAATTTAAATTATCAATGTAAATTATAATTTATGTAATTTTATAGTCGTTATCTCTTCTATAATATATAAAATTGTAAGGGGTTTTCTACGACCGCGCTAACCGAGAAAACTGCTGAACCGATTTGGTTGACAATTTTTACTGTTACACCTAACAGTCTGCTGAAGGTTTTAGTACTACTTTTGTTAATAAAAAATAAGTATTAAGTTCTTGAAAAATTAAAAAACAAAGTTAATTTTGGGAGCCTCTCTACGAGGTCTGCAAAAACAAGCCTTTTTATGTTCCCATTGTGTGACAACACTATTTATCTTTTTTCCATTTTTTTTTTTTCACAGAGTTGTTCCAAATACCTTCTTAAGTGTTAGTATAGCCTGATTTTTAATTTACTTTGTCTGAAAGGGGTGTATTGTATTTAAATGCTCCAATTTTCTGACGACGCTATTGAACTTTTTTACAATTTTTTTTCACAGACTTGTACCAAATCCTTTCTTGAATGTCACCACATCGCCCAATTTTTAATTTTTTTTTATTTTTTTTTTTTTTTTTATCAGAGTGATGGGAGAAAAAGTATTGTATTATAGTAGTTGGGGACCTGAATCATCTACAATTTTGATTTTAGCAGGAGATAGAACAAAAAAGGTTATATACTCAGAAGTTTTATAAAATTCTTTATCAACAGATTAATTAGCATTTCTTTTATATCTGTATTTGTTTTTAGTAAAAATATAATTATCATTAATACCGCTAGAAACATTTTAATACTTTTCATCAACCGTTTTTTATATTTACTTGTCGATTACATTAAATAATTAAATTTGAATAAAAATTCTACATATCATCGTCCAAAAGCAAAATAAGCAACCAATTACGGGCGAAGCCGTAACGGGTCGACTAGTAGATATATATTTGAAAATTTTCTAAAGTAAGAAATTTATTTTATATAGGTAAATCTATTTCATGTCAAAAAGATAATTTATAAAAAAAATTTTAATTTAATTTTCAAAAACTCTTTTTTAACGCAAAACTTATCATACGATATTCTTTATAATTAGTATAATATATTATTAAACATTAGTTAAAATTTATCATTTTGAGTTACTATATTGCCATTTGAAAAATGGCTCAAACTTTTTAGATTAATCGAACCAACATAGATATTTTTTTATATCTATAAAATAATAACAATTATAATTTCCAATTAACAGATCTAATTTGTATTTTTAGGTGACTTAATAGCAAGACATATGCACATTTTCAAAATGAACGAATTTTTTCGAGGTATGAGTTTACCACAGCCAGAACTTATTGAACCACTGGAAAAAAAACTACCTAAACAAGCATTATCTATTCCACATTTGTTGGACTTTTTAAAGGTAAGTATATTTAAATTAATTTAATATTCAATGTCGATATTTAATTACGAGTACATTAAATATTATAAGACGTTTAGTCAAACTCAAATAGATAATAATATTAAGTACATAATATATTATTATAATGATTAAAATTTTAATTTTTTATGGAAATAATTTTTTTGATCATTAAAAATTTAATTTAGTTTTAACATCAGAAATTTTAAATGACCAATATTTTTTTAAATAACTTAATGATTTAACAATCACATTTAAGCCAAGTAACACTTGTATAAAATCCCACCATATAACCAAGTTTTGTGTTTCTTCACAACGTCTGTTAATGAAAATGTGTTATGAGTTAAGACATTCACTGACAAATACAACTATGTTAATGAGTATTTGAATTAATAATAACTTCTTATAAAATATTTTATTTTTAATGTTTTTACTTAAATACTATTATTATAACTATATAGATGTTTATAATTCTATGATACGTACTTATAGTAGTTTTAGTAACTCGTGCTACGTTTAATTCTAAAACCAAGTCCTATTTTATATAATTTATATAATAATTATTAAAATAATTTAGTGAAATTCGATGCAAAATGTATATTTTATATACACTATGCCAATGATCACCAAATAGCGGCCCGCAGACAAAGAATTATTTTTTAAAATATTTGTAATATCACTAAATAATTTTCTATTTTTAATGCATTTATAATTTATTTTTATTTTTTTCAAATATTTGTAATTATAATTATGTTCTTAATGTTTATCAATGTTTATGTAATTTTCTCATTACATTCAGTTTTAAAATAATACCTATAATATTATGCTAAATATATATACTTAAAATGTTGATGGCCCACAAAAAATTTTTAGTTTCTTTATGTGGCTCTTTAAAAATATTAATTGTTGACTCCTGCAATATCCGTATAATAATAATTTATATTATGAATAGTTAGTAGAAAATTTGTATTTAAAAGATTTAGTCGTCAAAAACTTACCCACATATTTTTTTAAATTCAATAAAACCATTTTCACTAAGAAATGAAACAAAAAAAATGTGGTATCTACATTGAATTATTGACACATAAATTGATGCATTTTTAGGTTTCCACTGAATACTGATCGACTGTTTTCACTTTTATGTTTGTTATCATAAAAGATTCTATACAACCTTCCTTATTCATCAACCATTTGTATGATAATTTGTCCATAAATATTCAAATATGACAAAGTAAATGTGGGTCACAAAAACAAAAATAGACATTAACTATATTCAATATAACAATATTTCGATAAAATTTATATTTGAAACGCAAAATAGTAAACATGTCTTGAATATTTAGACCAGACATTTATTTAAAATTTATACTATAAATTACATACGAACAAATAATATTATTTAAGAACATACTGCTATATATTAAACAGAACTTTTTTTTCTTTATTGTTTCAAAAATTCTACAACCTATGTATGCTAAATATGCGTATTACAATAAATATAAGTGTATATAGATTATATTTATTTATTGACATTAAAAAAGCTTGTGTGAATGGAGGCACTTCAGAGTGAATTTATATCCTTATGGTGCTTATTAAATTAAGTCTCAAGCCATCTGAATGGACATCAGTCTAATTTCGAGAATAAAGTTTGTTACGAGGTTAGAATTTTGGTTTTTTATACAACGTTAGTGAATTTTGAGCAATATCTAATAGAAGCCTGATAAAAAAAAAATCCAGAGCGATTTAGGTGATGGTACTGTTTTTTTAATATAGTTACTTCTGAATTATATGAAGAGCAGTTAATATTTTTAAATGCAATTGAAAAAGATACTATTATAATACAAGCATTAACTTTCTTTAAGCCAAAGCCTATAGGCTATAGTGCATTTTCTAACACTGAAATTTCTCTTTAAATCGTATTAACGCAGAATATTAATAAACTCGGCATTTTTATTAACTCAAAATAATTAAAAACCGCCTCAGAAATACAAATATTTAAAAAAGACACATTGAACTAGCTGTAATTTTCCATATAAAAATATATAACAATTTTTCAAAAACCAAGAAATATGTTTTTTTTTTTTTTATTAATAATTTTCATTTTATTACAAAAAATCTGAAAAATGTTAATAAAAAATTCAGCAATAATTTTAAGCGTTGACCATTCGTAAAACATCACTTTTGAATCTTAATTACTCATTTTTAACATTCCAAAATCTGTAATTATGTTCAATTTAACATCTCTACGTTTATTTGAGTAACATGACATTATACACTCTCTACAGCTGTTTCTCGCACTATAGATAATTATAGAGACATTATATATCCATATAACAATAACAAAATCATAAACAAAACGATCAAAAAAAGATAAATTATCAGAACAAAATGTCTTGAGTTAACATTCTAAATTACCAATTAAATTATAATTGAAAATTCATATGATGTATGCACTAAAAATGATAAAAGATACTTTGAAACATCAAAATAATTGTTATGAATGCAAAATAAAAGTTTAAGTTTTCAATTCTATGATAATATACGTAACTGATTTTGTACTTGAAAAGCATTTCTAAGGAATTCTCTAAAATAATCGAATGCATTTTACATTCAAATTCAGACTATAGTTATAAGTAATAGATAAAAATAATAATCGCATTTATATATATATAATTAATTTTACTGTTAATAATATATAGCATGTTTATGAATATTTGATGAAAACAATTTTTATAAAACATTAAATAGAGTAGAGCACCTATTATTTAAAATAAGTTTTACCACAAAATAATTTAAAATGAGATTTTACAAGGATGTAAAATGATAACTGATAAGTGGAAAAAATGGGTCACAGCCCACAACCCACAAACAATTATATGGAAAATGGACCTCGCAGTTATAATTCGTATACGAGATTCACAACTCGTAGTGCCGGCCCTGCGTCAGCGTAGTTAATATAACCGAGCCACTGAACTTTAACGAATATAAATAAAAATAAATTATTTCTAAAGGCATAGCTTATTAAATTAAAATTATTAAAATTATACAATTATTAAACATATTTTGTGAAAACGTTTTGTTATTCATGAAATTCGTCGATCGTCGTTTTTTATTATTATCAACCATTGTCATGTAATTCCCCTTGCATTAACATAAATTGTCTAAAAAAAAATTGAAAAAATAAATAATTTATCATACATTTAATGTGTTTTAATATTGTTTTGTAATTAGATGTGTTTAGAAAAAGACCCATTAAGACGATGGACGTGTGATCAATTGTTACGGCACCCTTTTTTCGATAATTTCTCGTTCAAGTACCCGGAAGGAGATTTATACGAGTTTGAAAAACTTAAAACATTTCGAGAAAAATCAAAGGTAACTGATAAGTATATTTTGATCTTACCAAAAATGTATTCTTGTTTATATTATGGGAAAAAAACAAGATGAAACGATTATAAAGTAAATTATAATAGTAATTATCGTAACAAATAACAATGAATAAAATAAACTATTACTATTATATTACCCATCGGTCCCGCCGAGTTATATTAAAAATAGATACGAGCCAAAAATTTGTATCTCAAATTCTATCAATAAATATGTATTACATTATGTTGACATTCTTATTACTTTTTTGAATTTTACTACTTAATAACAATACATTTAAAAAATAGCGTTTTCAACTGAAAATCGTAATAAAATTTACTACAGTCGAGTAGTGGATATTTTATTATTATAATCTATTGCCTGTTGGATATTGATAGGTACTTCCTAATTGTTTGTTTCGCTTCGAATTTTCACAGAACGGACATTACGTGAACATCGCCTCAACGCTATTTCCACAGATACCGAGCAACAATCAAAGCCCTGACTTGACTCGTCCTTTAAAAGTGGCGCAAAAACATTTCGATCATTTACCAGACATCTGACCAAAAGCTATGTCAATAATTATATTAACATCGTCAGAAGTCATCACATTACAATCATACTATACCTACTATATATATATATATATATCCATAAATTAATTTTACATCACCGAAAGGAGATTTCACCTGTTTACCTAATATGTACCTGCTATATTTTGTGAAAAATATATATTATAATATTATGTTCAAAGTTTATTTACTATAATTTATTTCATGTTTTTATGAATATATTTTACTCATTATTATTAATTTACATTCCAACATACAAACCAATATATTGGTATTTACTAAAGTACATTACCGATTATTTACCATGTTTTTTTTAGTTTTTTTTTTTTTTAATTATATGCTTGTGTACACATTTTAATATAGGTGAACATTTAAAAATTGTTAATCCGCCTTTTATAAAATAAGTTTAATAAAAAAGTACATAATGTTAACGCGTTTACCAGCTATAATTATTGAACAATAAACGATAACAACTATATCGAGTTAAATTTTTGATTATATTTATTTAATTTTAATGATATGCAGGCTCGTGAATGGCGAAATTATTTGGTTACCCTGCAAAGTGTTGTACCATTCTAAGTATCATCTAAACTTTAAAATATACAAATAACTTATAAGTTATAATAGTTATAACTAAAGTAAACTAATAGTCTGAAATTGTATTTTTATAGATCGAAAAATAACTAATTTCGAAATATAAAATCAAAAATGTATGACGCCATTTAAAAACTTAAAAAATTGTAACGATCAAAAAAATAAAATATATGATTTTTTTTTTTTTGAAGCTTTGTTTTATTTCAACTGGAAAATATGCATGGAAAATATTTTCAAAAACGATTTTATATTTTGAAATAATCAATGTTATTTAATAAAATTATCACTATGTGTGTAAGAACCACTGTTTCTTAGTGAACATATTAATACAAGGTATAATTAAATAGGATTAAACATATTATACAGTTTTAACAGAAATAACTGGTTTTAATCAATATATTTTTATTTTTATTTTTTTTATTATTCTATTTAAATTTATAGGTACTAAGAAAATAAAAATAAATTTTAATGGTAAATATATTTATTTAATTTAAATAGTTCATTTTCTACGATTTTTTTATAATAAATTAATTAAAAGATAATAACTTTTTTTAAATATTATTTTTGGAAATGTTCAAACATGAGTAAATCTTAAATGATTTATTGTGCATATAATTTTCATCAAGTGGACGCTATACACATCCGACTTTACTGTTTATACAAACATGAAAATCTCTCTTACTTTTATTAATTTTCCATTATTTTTTATTAGGTCTTTTTATTATTTGGTATGTAATATGTATACATATTTATAACTCCCTTCCAAATTTTATCCTCGATTATATCACTGTGACCCGTGAGGTAAAATAATAAAAACAATATTACGATGTCCGACGTGATATCATAAATAAATAATATTATATAATCGTATGAAAGCGGCAATATCTGATTCACTCTGGATGTGTGAAGATTGTTGGGAAAAATAAAATGTCTTGAAAATAAATGTATTTAAAAAAATATATTTAATATTCTTTTTTTATCGATAATAATACATTAAAAAAGAAGTCATAAAGCACTGATTATTTTTCCCTACGGCCTCGTAAAAAGGTGAACCAAATGCGAATACAAATTCATTTTTAATATTTAAATCAGACTGCTGAATGGATAGCTGAATAAAAAACAGGTACTTACAAGTACGTGTGTATAGTAACCAACTATTATTGGTAGGTACTTATCTGTATTAATCATTGTTAATGTTAATTATAGGTAGGATAATCAATAAGAAATTTTCAAAAATTCAGAGCTCCTGCGCACACCAATGTATTTTATTGACCTATACATCTAATAATAATTAAACATTAAATATTTACTTCTTAGGTTTATTTATTGTCCCACGCAATAACAATATAAATAGATCATTGGATTACATCTGTTTAACGAATTATTGAATTGCATAATATTTGATAATGTTTTCTTTACAATTCTACACAATAAAAGCCTTGCACTATAAATGTGTATTGTACACGATAAAAATGAAGCATGCCATAATATTATAGTAGGTGTCTTCTACAATACCGTAAAAAACAAGTGTATTACCCGATTATTTCTATTGATAGTTTTCCATGTGGCCATGTCTCAAACACAACGATAGGTTTTGGATCTCAACATTTAAATTTGTGTTGTCTACTTTATCAGTATATTTTGACAGTTGTTTTTAAATAAGCGAAATATGAACCGACAGGCGCTTACAGCCCGACCCAGAGGCCCATTAACTGCATTCACTGGTGGTTATTTTGCGAGTCAATTAATGTCAGGCCAGCATAATTATCTGAATCCAGACTAAGACCGCAATGATTTCTGTAGCGGTTCTTTGAACTTCGCCTGAACTCAATACCGTGTAATATCTGTCGTAGGAACCTTTAAAATTAAAACATTACATGTATTATGTATGTACAGTAAAGGTACTTATACATAACTGCGAGTGGACATATTGTTTACGATTTTGGCGTGTGAAAGCGAGATAAAAGGTCCACGGTTGACTTTTTTCATTATAAACTCAGCCAAATCATACCGAAATATGAGAGTATATAGATTAACCACATATCAAATGTATATCGACTGAAAAATCGAGACCTACTTTACATATTGACCTTTTTATTACCTTTTCACGTTGGTAGGTACTTGACTTTATGATAATAATATCATGAGTAATGGGTACACTACACGTACGATGGCATTATTAATATTTCTCGGAGCTGTCAGCTACTATACGGTCAACTGTCGACGAATAATAATTGATAATTTCTTATAAAATAAATTGAAAACCTATTTTTTTCTCCGTTCCACTGTGGATACACGCAAACGTTAATACTTTTTTAGTCATAACTCATAAGGTACTTATAACTTTTGAATTTAGAAAAACAATTTTGAAAGCTTTTGTCGTTAATTACTAAATAGTTTTTATCACTGTATAAGTATATTTCATATTATGTTTTAGATTTTGAGCGGAATAATGAACGTATTGATTTTACAATGATGTTTTGTATTTTTTTATATGAGTACCCCCCTATAAGTTGCAGGTAATTTCGATTTTTAACGTTGAGGGTAGTTTTGGATAGCGAATTGGATCTTATTTGTACTTTAAAGAATCGACATTTTTAGTACTTCTTTTTTATAAACGAAAAAAATAAACAAAAAAATTTAGGAAAAACTAAAATTTTTACACTAAATCAATTTCTTTATTTTGTTATAATTTAAAAATTAATAACAACAGAAACTTGAAATTTTCACCAAGTATTCATATTTTCATTTTCTATTAATGGTTTAATTTTTGAAATATTTTGATTTTTGTTTTTTTTTTTTTTAATTTTCAGTAAAACATGTTTGAATTCATAAAAATTATTGAAAATTTAATACAACATTCAACATAATTTTTTCTTTTACCTTGATAAAAATTAAAAATATTAAAAATATATTAATTCAATATTTTTTGTGCGTTTAAAGTTAGAATTTGGACGAAATTTGTGATATTCACAAACAATTGCAAACTATTTTACAATATCAAAATTTCGAAAATTTGATACAAATTCCTTGTAAGTTGTAAGTAATTTATATTGAAACCATAAAATCTAAAAAATTATATAAAAACAATCAATTTTTATAATTTTTATAAGTTTGGACGAAATAACTTATTTAAACCATGAATATTAGTGTTAATTATTTAATTATAATTTAAAAATATACGTGAGAACTCAATATTTTTACATGCTCTATTTTGCTATGGATTTTTTATGATTTACAATGACATTATTAATTTATACCTTAAATCTTTTTTTTAGTATATTTTATCAAAAAAAAAAATGTTATTAAATTTAAAATTATATGATATAAATATATATTAGTATAATAATTAAATATTAATAATAAAAGAAATGAATTATTTTTGAAAAAAATTTTATCAATCTACTTTTTTATCAAATAATTTAAATTTAACACACCCATCACAGTGATCCACTCGATACCTGCTCTGCAGCTGAGTGATACCCATTAGTTCCTTCTAATATTTCTATTGAAGTAATTTTTTTTTTTTAACTTTGCATTTATATTTTATATTATTAATATTTAACTATTTTAATTATATAATATATTCATACCATATTATATTATTCAATTATTGTTATTAATAATACCAACTAAAAGTAAAACAATGTAAATCAATTTTTAGTGAATAAATATGTAGTATAATTTAAAATAAAATTTATCTACATATTTTTAAATACCATTGCGTATAGTAATATTCATATTGTAAATAAAAGTTATAAAGTCACATGAATAACATTTTTCAATAATAAATTATAAAAAATGATGCATTTGTATATATATATATATATTGTTATTCATTTGGTAAAAATTTAAAGAATCTTAGATTATTCGCTTATGAAACAAACCAAAAAAAAATACCTACCTAATAATAATAAAACTGATTTTATGGAATACAGGTTTTGTCATAAAATTACCAATTCTATGGTTATTTTAGGAAATACCAACTGAAAATTCTTACTTTTGACCGTCTAAAGAACCAAAACCAATTAGATCCAATTTTCTACTAGAAACCACCCTCACATTGAAAATGTAAGCATTTTTACTGTTCCAAAATGTGATGACAGACACAACATTCATCGCTTATCCATTAGGAATCATCTTATAAAATCGTTAAGTACAATTTATTTGATTTATCAGGTTCTATATATTATTTATCATCGTAGTATATATATATATATATATGTCATTTTTAGCAATGTAGATTTATAATTCGGTTTAGTATCTTCTTAGGTAATATGTTTTAAGTTTTAACTAGGTACCTAAATCGTTATGAAATATAATTGATTATATTTATATATATACACACATTATACTTCAACTTTTTTTGCCTCCGGCTGTTACGTAAACGTAGGTAACACATCAGTCGATTAAGAAACGGAGATTTTTTTTTAAAACCCATTTCAACAGGTTATTATCACTTATCAGATTTTTTTTTTCCTATCACCAGTCGTTATCTACTGCAATAGTTATCTTTTTTCGCTCTCTCGCGGCAAATGCTTAAAAAGAAGTAATAATAATTGACAATTGTTAACTATATTATAACTACAACTACAAGGCGACTTGCTGTCGCAATGTCGCGGTCGTATAGGTACACCAAGTGTGACTATGTCTATCATTTCAACCGGCTGATATCATCTTAAACCGATTACTTCATTAGCTAGACCATGCCACGTAATATATGAATGACTGGCGGAACACGTTTTCTATAGTTAATGGTTTACTTCATCACCTCGAGTAGGTAGACGCTTGAAAACGAAAGTGGAAGTGGTTATTATTAATATTGGTGTTATTTTTTACGATCGCTAGTACCTAATTACATAGTCCAAACGTCAAAATTCTACAGTTGCCGTCAGACAGTGTTCGAGCGTACAGTACGAAGCAGAGCACCGGAGACGCGTTTAATGTTTACCGAGCGCCTTTGATGATTAGTACCATCGAGTGTAATCAATTCTAATACCTAATCTAAAGTCCGAAATTAATAATTTTTAATCATACATAACTTTTGTGACCTGTGTTCGACTTTGACGAATTATATAACGTAAACATCAGGGTTTTTTTTTTTTTAAATCTTGTCCGATAATCTAATTAGACACCGCCACTTCTACTGCACTATTTTCGCTGTTGGTGATGCTACTTTGATGGAAACTTCTCAAAAATAATTCCAAATAACGACTTCATTTTATCAAGGACACTACAAGAAACAAAATATGGTAATTTCAAAGTAGGCACTTATGTTCGACTGAACGGTATTGCAAAGGTACCCATGAGCTGTGCAACCATTATCCGTCGTCGTTCATTCATTTTGTGAATATTAATAGTTATTATTTTATTTAAATTTTAAATATATTTTGTTTTCCAGACACTTGCAAAATTAATGTTAAAATTAGGTCTTTATTCAACCACACTAATTGGCATCTTCACCCTGCTGCCTTTGACACAGGACGTCACTTTCACAAAATATAGGCAAGTTGTAATACATTGATAAAATATGTCATGGCATACTAATTTATTTTTATGATTGTTATTTATTAAAACTGTTAATAGTGTCACACCACAAAGACCATTAACAGGACCGTTAGCGTTAAATGATAAGTTATCAGGCATATCAAAACTTTTTGAAGATCAAATCGTAGGACCTGAAGGTCTATTGTATTATAACAATACTTTGTATACAACATTGCATTATGGCCATGTTGTTAAAATTGTCAATGATGAAATAGTTCCTGTTGTGAAATTTGGAAAAGTATGTGGTGAGTAAACTTCTTTTATAAATGCCTGATAATATCACTTATTGAAAATAAAATTATTACATTTTTTTTACCAAAATCATATTAAAATATTAATAATAATTTCTGTACAAACCTAATGTATATATTAAACTTATATCATTCTATAAATGCCTATTTAATTATGTTATTGATTTGTATTAGATGGATTACACGAAGAACATATCTGTGGACGTCCACTTGGCCTAAATATAGATAAATCAGGATTTTTATATGTAGCTGATGCCTATTATGGTATTTTTAAAGTGAATTTAAATTCAAATCTATACGGTATGTTTTATATTATTATTATTTTTTTTTTTTTTTTACTGTTAATTACTGAAAAAATAATTTTTGTTTTATTCTTCTTCTTCAAAAAAAATTATTTTAATATATAGAAATATGTGATTTTAATAAGAATGAAAACCTAAATAAATTTTTCATACTAAATAACATTTGATTTTATAAATTTCTATTTTTGTATTACTAGATCATAACTTTTTATAGTACAAAAGTTCATAAACAATACCTATATATTATTCATGAGTGTACTCTTTTACTTAATTTTCTTTTTATTTATGACATAGTTATTTGGTGTTTAATGGCTAATGATTAATAAGATTTTAGACATAACCCATTAACTTATTAATTATAACCCCAAGAACAAATTTCATTAAGATAAATAAATACTTCAGAAAAATTAATGCCAATTTTTACGACAAACCATACTTAAACTACCTATCCTATATGTTATTATTATTTTACAAATGTTTAAAACTCGTAGTTTTATATACTCTTATATAAAAAGTATATTGATTGTGTATATTAGGGTTCAAGATTTATCGCCTCTGCATATTCTTTAATTATGTTTATAGAATATTCAAAGTAAAAAAAAAAAAACTTTTTTTTTTGAGACAACAAACTTAAATACAAAAATACATATTGCATATTTAGCCATTTCTTTTACTAAACACATTTTTTTAAAAAATTTAGGAATTGAATTGTTATTTTTAGCAAAACATTTAAATTTTTTAATTTAAATAAATACATTTGGCATTTTGATAGCTTACTTTTTATTATTTTTATTATTATTATTAAGAGTTAATTAATATAACTATAGTAAAATTTGTAGCAAGGCTATGTTTTTATGGCATTGCATAGCACATAATATGAGATAAAAATATTATTAACTGAACGGTACAATTAGGAAAATATCTAATTATTTCTATATATATCACTACTATTTTCTAAATTAATACTGTTACCTCTTATTAATATTATATTTGTTTAGAGAATACTAAATGAAAAATAATAGTAACTTAAATACTTTTTCAAAAAACTTTAATTGCATATTTCACTTATTTTTGATACATATTATTAACAGTTTTAACGCAATAATTCTTTAACTTTATTTATTACTATTTCTGTGTAACATATTATATAGTAAGTTTCAAACCCAAATAATTAATAAACATACAATATTTGTTTTTATTTTTTTATAATAGGTGCAAAAGAGCAATTAGTTTCAATGGATGAAGTTATTGATGGTGCACGACCTAATTTACCAAATTCGGTTGTAGTAGCTTCTGATGGTACTGTATACTGGACAGATTCTGATATAAACTATAAATTATATGATGGAGTTTATACAATGCTTGTTGATGGAACTGGAAGGTTAGTGAAAATTTTTTTCATGTATTTTAACAAAAACCTAGCTTAATTAATATAACCAAACACATTATATTTTATTTGAGTTATTAGTTAAATTAAACAATTAAATAAAATGTTGAAACAATAAACTTAAAATTATTAGGTATTGTGAAATTCTGAAATTGCCTTATGCAACAGTTTTGCAAATTATATTTTTCTTAACTATGTAGCTGGATATTTATAAAATAACTTGGTGTTGCAAACTATGTAAATATTATAAATTCATTGATTTTTTCTGTACAAAATTACATACCATTTTGTTGATAATATAATTTGCTTACTAAATAAATAATGATATTTAAAAAAAAAACTTTACATAAAGATGATTATGTTTATAAAGCAATAAACAATATATCTATCTTTTTTTTTTAGATTATTGAAATACGATCAAAAAACTAAAAAAAATACAGTGTTGATGAAAAATCTTCAATTTTCTAATGGTATAGAATTATCAAATGATGAATCATTCATATTGGTGTCTGAAAGTATAAGATATCGTGTTCTGAAGTATGTGAATATTATTTTTTTATATACTCATATATTATTTAAAAATTAATTAATTTTGTTTATTAGGTATTATTTGAAAGGACCTAAAGCAGGAAAAAGTGAGGTGTTTATTGATGGTTTGTCAGGAATGCCAGATAATATTAAAAAAAATAGCAAAGGGTCATTTTATATTCCATTAGTTCTTACAAGAACTCCAATTCTCGAAAATATTGGTGAATATCCAACTATTAGAATGATGATTACTAAATTTCTTGGAATAATTGATTTTACATTGCTAAAGATCGATTCATTTTATCCTAATTTATATTGCAAAAAAGCTATGCATTGGGTAAATATATAATATAATTTAAATAGATATATTTATTATAATTTATAACATCTTGTACTTTATACGTGTTTCATATTTATGAAATTAATGCTTTGAAATATGTTTTATCATCAGTACATAAAATAAAACATTATGCATAATAATATATTTATGCACAGTTTCAGCTTAAATCAGACGAATTTTGTTTGGTTTAAATAAAAAATTTATTGATATTTAATTTATAATTTTATACTTTCAAATTATTTAACTAAGTTAATAAATAACTGAATTACCTAGGTATTTAGTTAAATTCAAACTAATATAATTTATATATGAAACAAACAATATATCTAAATATAAATTAATTTAATTCAGTGGTTCTTTTGATTATTGAAAATGAAAATGTTAGTTAAATAAAATATCTACATCATTAAATATTTGTTTCAATGTTTATAAAAAAAATATGTATATATATCACATTCAATACAATGTGAATGGTATTTTTTAAGACCCTTATTGTTAAAAAAAAAAAAATGCATAAGATAAAAACGAATGTTAACTTTTTTTTAGGTTGGCCATTTTGAATCCATATTATTCATTAAGTCACTGAGCAAACATCGACTTTCTATTTTAAAAGTTAATGAAAAAGGTGAAATATTATCAAGTTACCATTCTTTAGATGGAAAAGTAACTGGAATATGTGATATTGAAATAATTGGTGATAAATTATATTTGGGCTCACCTTTCAATACCTTTTTGGGAGTTACTAAGCTGCCACAAGGGTTTTAATAAGTTCAAACTTTTTAAATAGTAATGCTCAATTATTTTTAAACTGTTTATTACTTGATTTTGTATAAGCTCAGATGAAGCTCCGTGTTAAAATTAAATACATTAATAAACCCAGTGAATATCTACAGGATAATTTTAGTACTCAAATCAGAATAATATCTTTATTTTGTAAACTTTAGTACCTATGTAATAGACTTAAATTATTTTTGTTAACTATACATACATTTTTTATTGTAATGCCAAATTCCAGTCAAATTAAACTTTTTTTATTCACATTATAATAAGGATTTAAATACTATATTATGATGTATTAGTGTATCATCTGAAACTACTGATTTAAGACTTCTCTGATCTAATTTTATAAAAACTTCTGATTTTAATTGTATTCAATCATAAAAAATAGAGACTTAATTCATTATGAAACTATACTTTATATTATATAATATAAACTTAGAAACTCATTTTGTAATACAGTTTTTGTTATTCGTTTTATAGAATAGATTTTTTTTAAATTTTGGTTTATTATTTCTTACGGCTATTTACTTCAGTGTAACGATAAAAATTGATGCAAATCAAATAATAATTGCTGTATAATATGTAAGTCAGCTTATTATTGTAGTTAAAATGACTGTATTTGATTATGCATGGAAAAATATTAATAACTACATTACTGAATATCAATTAGTTATGGTTTAAATGAAAAGTCAACTAAAACAAACTGAAAGAATAAACATTCAACTATATTATCTGATTTTAACTTATTTAAATCTTAGAACATCAAATTTCTATTAAGCTGAGACACTTGTGACAATTTAGTATACATTAATATATTGTTATGCTCTGTACATTTTTGTTGTTTAATACTCGAGGTAAATAGCCAATGTTTACTATGATTTACAAATTAAACTATGTTATTGATGTCTAAACCTCTATGAATTATAAATTTCAACATTTTTTTACCATTGTCTACCAATATTTAAACATAATATATAATTTGAATAATTATTTATTTTTTTTTTTTTTTAAAGAGTGATGCGTCTAACTTTGATTTTATGTAGAAAAATATATATTTTATTAAATAGAATATATAGTACATAGAACAAAAAATGACTACCTATTAACCCAAAAAATAATAAGAGGTCTGTGATAAATTATTACATTATCAGCATCCACAATCAATAATGACTAACATAAGCGTGCGTCTAAAATCAAACTATTTAATATTTTTTTAAAAATATTTTCAATACCCATCATGCAAACAATTAGTAAAATAATATTGTTCTATTAAGTATAATTTAATATTTTCTTATAATAAGACATCCTCAGTAGTAAGCACTAATTACTAATTTATTCTGTGAGAATAATAACAGCACAACAGTTTCAAATAAAATATATATCAAATATAACCTAACCAATATGGTTTAATGTGACCTCATCCATTAATTTTTGTGAGGATTAATTTCAAAAATCGTTATCTTACCTTGAGAAAACAGAAAAAATAATTCAGGAGTGGCCCTAGAGACCTAAGCTACTGCAATATTGCCTATCCTATTAAAAATACTCATGATGATTGATGACCAATGACTAACGATTATCAAACACCAAATGGAATTGTAATATGTGTTTAAATGTATTCTATTTGTCACTGATACGTTTATTTGTCTATAGAACAGCATTTTCGCATGATTGATTTAGGTCACTGAAAAAAATATCATCAACAAATTTTTGAATAATGATGTTAAGATGGTGTTAGCGCACTATTTGTTTTCTCTATCTGGCTCACGCCTAATATTATAAACAAAACGCATTTTCTCAAAATCATTTTTTGATTTTTTTAAGTCATTTTAGAGTAAAATCGCCCTTAATAAAAATTAAAGAGAAAAATATTTCTGAAGGTATGACAAATTGATTTGTATAAATATTGTCTTAAACAATTTTAAATATTTAAATTTATAATATTTTTTTTATTTTGAAAGTCAAATAATAATAAAATATATAACCGATATGTTAAACTCTCAATAATATTATGCTCTACAATTTTTGTAATATATTTTTACTCTATGATTACTCAAAAACAAAAAAAAAATGATTCTGTGTAAATGCGTTTTGTCCATGTTACGTGTGGGCCAGAAAGAGAAAACAAAAAGTGCGCCAACATCATCTTTAATACAAATATTAATAATTAGTAAATATCACGAAATTTTAAAAATAATAATAAATTTCTCATAAATCTGGTTAGATCATTTTATGTATTAAAGAATTAAAGCAATGGTGCAACTACTGGAGGGAGGGAGTGCAGTCGATCACCTGGGTCCACAGACTGCAGGGGCCCCGGGCCAACTAAAATAGTCTATTTCCGTATTTGATGATAAATTTCCCAACAAACATCAAAATCATACTATTTTGATGTACTTATGAATACAATTTCACAAAGCAGGTAGGTATACGTTTTCTATATTTACCGAATCCAAAACCAGAAAAAAAAACTTTTTCAAGTGAAGAAAAATTTTTAATACTACTAAAATAAAAATATAGTTCACAATATATTATATATATAATTGCACAATATAAATACATAAAATGTTGAATATATCGTTTATAAAATATAACTAGGTATATGATTAGTGTAGTTTTCATAAGTTATAATTTGTACTTGTTTTTGTGAGTAAGTAGCTATGTTGATATTCCAGATCTATTTCAGTAAGCTAATTAGAAACAGTATGTGAAAAATGTATGTTACAAATAAACACATTGTTTTAAATTGAAGCTGTAGGTAATACCAATATTACGGTTTGGTATTGTCTAAACGGGTAAGATTTCGTCTACTTATTGACGAGCATTAATCATTATTCTAAGACCCAATTTTATTATTATATTATATAATAATTAATTAATTAATAAAAGAATCATAAAGCCTGAAAAAAAGCTATAATAAAATATTTATACCTACTATATTTAGGTGGTTGGTATTGAATTTGGTACTCTGAATGTTTGAATTCTGATGCACTATACACTATACTCGTATAAGGATAACACACAAACATTTTATAACAAATACGTTTTTATATATTATATGAAAATTTAATACATGAACACCGCAGAAGAAACTTTGTGAGGCAAAATAAGCGAAATGTCATGATTAGTCATTGAGTTCTCCTAATTTACTTTAAAAAAAAAACATAGAAATTTATTAGAAGGTTTAACTTAATTTTTTCCTATTTAAATGTTATTCACAAGAATAGGCGTAAACAACTTTAATCAAAGCCCCTTCATTAAAAATGACACTAGGAGAGAGGGCCTCAGTTGGCCTTGTTGCGCCACTGTATTGTAGAAATATACCTATTGTATATAGTTTACATACAACTTAATACATTTTATTCGTGTCATTAAAACATTGTATTATATAATTAACAGTAAGTTCAGATGATATTGTCAGGAGAATGTAAATAAAAAAATACATAATATTTAATAAGTAGGTAGGTGTACAAGAGTATTACAGAGAATCGTTTTTTAAGTCATAAGCGAAAAACCAAAAAAGTTATCCAAAGTAATCCACGTATTCGTATAATATGTATAATCGTATTATATAAAGATATTTATTATAAAAATTGAAAACATATTTGAACGATCACCGTAGTTCACGGGTTGAAAATTTTAAATACCTTAAATACTGCAGTATTTATATTTGTGAGTAAGTAATACATTTTGAATATAGCCATTAAATCTCGTTTCTCGATGATTTCTAGTATGGAAATAAAATTAAAGGATTATTTAAAACAAAAAACGAGAATGACTAAAACGGCTAAACCGTAAAATCTTTGATATTCTTTTATTCTCGTGCGAAGGTATGTAATGTGTATACCTTATATTATTTAAACACACTATGCAAATGACAAAGTATCCGCAATATCCGGTCCGAAGTCTCTGAATTCAACCTTTTCTATAGTTTCCGAATAGAAATCAAATTGAGAATATAATATATTCAAATAAAAATCGTATAGGTAATAAGACACGAACGACTAAAAAAATAAAACCCTTTTTATAATACGTTTATTATAATATATATATATAAATGTGTTTGTGTGTGTGTGCGTGTGCGTGTGTATATAATATGTACATAGCTACGAATACAGTCAGTTTATCGTGGTGGAGGTCCCAGTACAAGGTAATATGCAGGATGAAACTATTTGTACATAATATAAAATGGCAATACCTTATCTGTAACAGAATTTGTTTAGCGTCTATATTGGATAATTTAGAATGACCCGGGCTCCGAATTATTTTAATCCGTTTATGATTGAGCGGGTAGGATAGGATAAATAAAATAGCAGGGATCACATACGTCACGCGGGTACCCCACACACCATACCTACGTAGGTACATGATTCGTATAACTATTCTATTGGATTTTCCTTATTTGTTTGAAATTATGTGTGTACCGATGTCCCGCAGATGTCCCAATCGACAAGTTCCAAAAATATCTACCTACGCATTCGTCTTACTAAGCGAAAACTCCGATTTAAATTGCTTTCCGAATAATCGTTTTACAACTGATAGCGGTGCCTTTTAATAGTGTGTTTTAGAGCAGAGCTGTACAAAATTTGCTGTTCGAAATGCATGTACAGAAGGTGATTCGAATTTCCAAAGAGCATTGTTAAAAATAACACTTTTTACAGGATTTAGAAATTATATTAGATAAAACGCCAAGTTCTACTGACAAATATTATCAATTTATTTTTTTACATATTTTGTAATCCTTGTAGCGCAGTAATTTTTAATTTACCAATAATATTTGTGACATTATACCTATACCTATAGATGTAGTAGGTATATCCATACTTTAAGTTAGTGAATTATATAGATGCAAACTATCGGTAGGCCTCAGGTATTTCTGTAATTGCGGAGAAAAAACTTTGCTCAAACGTATTAAAATTTCTATTAAAAATTGAAATGTGAAAACTTTTTAATGTAGCCTTAGTACTTACGTGTTAATATTAAATAGAATATTTTCACTTAGTGTGTGACTGTAAAACTATAGATACCGGTGTATCGTTATTCTTCGAAATGCAATTAACCTAAATAATAATTATTTTACACATTTAAAATATCTAGACGGCCGTTGCTTCTAGTAAAATTAAACAAATCTACTTTCATAGATTAAAAACATTAATTTTTAAAATCAATGCTACTACTATCTGCAGAATTTAATCCGTCCAACGCAGT